GGTTAGATTAAAAAAAGGTGTAGTAAAAATTTGCTATACATACATTTTAACAAAAAGGATTTGCAAGTTATATAACAAGGTCCTCCCTACCAAAAATAAAATTTCAGTTCCAAGTGGACACATGCAGTACCTGTTGGCTTTTTAGAAGGCCTCATTCACAAGGCTGCTTTGGGCCGGCCGTACACCAGATAAAATTAGCATAAATCTTCACAGCTGTTCACATGTAATCGCACATGGAGCAATTTATCTGCAGTTTGTGATAGACAAGCATAGAGGTTGCATCCAGGGTCACGCATATGTCCTGGACCACATGTAATCATGCTATGTGCATTTGCAGTTGTCTAACCTGTCTACCTGTCATTGTTTTTGTACAAGCTTAGCAGCCACAACTGATTGTAGACACCCATTAAATCTGTGGGAGATTTATGCTAACTTTTGTCAGCATATGGCCCAAAGCGGCCATGCCAATGAGCCTTAATAAGACTTGCCGCTCGGCAATGATCGGGAGCTGTACGGGCTATTGTGAATAGCCCGTACAGCACCCCCTCAGTTCTACTGAACCGAAGGGGTCCTGGGGCCGAAGCTAGCCGAAGGATCGGCCGAAGCTACGGCCAGATCCTTCCGCAGCTTTGTGAATAGACCCCTCAGTGTTGAAAAAGTAGAAGGATCATAAATGACAAGTACAACTCAGTCCAAAATTTCTCTAAGATAAACAAGAAGAATATTTAGAAATGAATGGTAACACCTTTTTGTCCTGAGGATTAAAGAACTCCAAGAAAAATTTGTAATAAGGCTTGCAGTGAGGCTACCCCTACATTGCAATGGTTAAGTGCTCATTTTTGTCTAGGTTCAAAAATAACAAAGGTATACTCACCCAAAACTCTGAACCAGCCAGTTGTCACAGCCTCCCCACCAGCCTGTGTCCACCTATGCTGAAGCATTAAAATGTTCCTCAGTGTCCTCACATCTATACACAGTGTATAGATGTATAGCCGTACTGCAAGGGTTAATAAAAAAAATTCCTGGAGTTCTTCTTTAAAGATAATAATATAATAAAAACAAACTAAATATTTATTAATATCCATGTACACAGGTTTGCTTTTATACATCATTACTTGAACTCTGTTTACAGTATGGAACCCTGTAGGAAAACTGCTGGCAAACTACAAGAATGGAAGCATACTAAAAAGCAACATGTGTGGCATTAGGACATGTCTTACAGCCATTTGTTACATTTGCTGTATGAATAATGAATGATTAAAACTCAGTGGATAATTGTGATCTTTTCCAAATGGAGTTTAGTATACATCAAGCTGAACTGCATTAACCCTAAGGTGTATGGCTCGGACACAACTCCATTACCACTAGCCATGTATATAAAAGGATTGGCATGGGTTTTACCGAATTTAAATTACCTGCTATGCATATGGAAAAAAGTATTAACAATTTACAATTTCCTCTTTCTAATTTAAACTGGAACAATGTCCAACAATATCACATTATTTGAAATGTCTGGGTCTATGTTCCAAGTTTTGGTGCATTAATAGAAGTTTTTTTCTTGTAAGTTTTGGGTTGTTGTTTTTTGCTTACCTCATTGTCACAGCTGCATATACCAAACTTAGGGGGATTCTCTTTTTTTTGTCTGACATCATTTTGTTTTTACGCTAGCCTGAAATCAATCCAGATTTCATTAAAAAAAAATTGCCTTGATGAGAAGAGAACCCTTTGAACCTCTGCATCTGAGGCAAGGAAGCATATGACTTTCACCATTTTTATGCTGTTACAACATTGATACAAATTTTATTTAAAAACATTACCTTGACGAGGAGCCTTTGAATCACTGCATCTGAAGCAAGGGAGGATATGGCTTTCACCGTGATTGGAATCTCGCCCAGCTGAATCGGTTTAATTGGAAAGAAAATCATTTTTCCTTCTTGACTTGGGACAGATACGGTTTTTTGGCTTCCAGTTGCATTTATAAATTCTGTGTGGATTTCATATGCATCACTCTGTTCAAGGGTCACAGAAACCTGTGAAAGGAAATTACTGTTAAAGGCAAATTGAGTTTGCTGAAACTGTGCCAGTGGCATATGTTTCTCAGATGGTAAAGCTGCCCATTCTTCCTGGCAAAAAGCCTCCAGGTCTTATAAATTCTTGGGCTGTCTTGCATGAACTGCATGTTTGAGATCTCCCCAGAGTGACTCAATGATATTGAGGTCAGGAGACTGAGATGGCCATATGTGTACACAACTGTACACATATATACATGTAAAATAACAACTTGATTTGATCAGCATTTCTCTTATTTTATGCCACCTGGTGGCTGTCTTAAGACTACTTTCATGTTTTTCCCTAAAATAAATGTAATATGAAGAAATACTACATGGCCGGCCGGGAGCTTCTTGGATGTAACAGGCCGTATACATACGGCCTGTTAGCCCTGCCCACTTGGGCGCGCACAAGCGGGAAAGACGCAACATTTAAAAACAAGCAGCGATGCCCATTAACATACAAGTGATCCGCCGGCTATAGAGTCGGCGGATCGCTTGTATAAGCTGCCGGCCCGTGTCCCCCACCCCTCCGTGGCCCCCCTCCCGTTGTCACGCTAGTCCCGGGCTCTGCTGTGCCCGGTGCGAGCCCGGGACCAGCATAGTGCCTCTCTGACAGGATCAGAGGGAGATCGGTATACAAGCTCCCTCCGGTCCCCTCTCCGGTGTCAGAATGCGGAAGCATTCTCGTGTCACTCTCCAGCTTCAGACGCTGGAGAGAAACTGATGAAGCAGATCTGTGCTTCATCAGCTTCTTCAGGGGGGTTATAGGTGACATTGGAGACCCCTGATGTCTCCATAAAGAGGACCTGTCACTTATTTTGCTATCACATAAGGGGGGTTTCTTAGCCCCGTATCTGATAGCAATAAAGTTAAGTGAAAAAAAAAAGATAGGAAAAAAATTTAAGTTTCCAAAAACAAAAGTTAAAGTTGACATAAAAAAGAATTTAAAAAAAACAAACTTTTTTTTTAAAGTCCCCACTCATACATACACGCATTCAAACATGCGTCAGGTGCGCATACCTGCGAAAACGACGATTGCCCCCATTACGTCACACATGTTACATATCGCCGCGAACGTCGCAGTGAGAGCAATAATTTTAGGGCCATCAATCACTGATAACACTAAACTGATGAGCGATAAAAGCTTTTAAAGCGTCGCCTACGGTCAATTTTGGGTATGGTAGTTTTTTTGTGATTTCGCCAGACGTGACCTCATCTTTTATATTTTACCAAAATAATTGGGTAATAATAATTGTTCCCTAACATAATGTAAAAAAACTTATTTAAAAAAAAATTTCAGTAATTTTACCTAAATATATTGAAAAAATAAAACTTGCAGTGATGATTAAATACCACCAAAAGAAAGTTCTATCTGCCCCCCAAAAATGGTATAAAATGAATTTTAGTACAGCGTTGCATGACGGAATAAATGTCAGTCAAAGTACTGCAGCGCTGAATACTGAAAAATGGCCTGGCCAGGAAGGGGGTCTAAACACCTGGTCTTCAAGTGGTTAACAGGTTCAGGAGTAGTTTTAAAATGTGGAGAACTTCATCAACTTGTAATGACACCTATTTGGCTTTTTTGTTAAAGTTTGCACTTAAAGTTTGGTTGTTATATACTGTAGTTGCTCTTCTGATTTCTTTTTTGGATATAAGGAAATACAGAAATGGTAATTGCATGGCAGATTCAGATGTAGCTTTGTAAATAGGAACTCTGCTGTCATGTTAAACACACAATCAAACATGACTTCTTGCTAAACTACAGTTCTAAGGGACCAGAGGTCTAGCAAAGAAAAAGGCTCATTCTCAGCTCATACACAGGGGGTGCTTCCCAATCTGCAAGTCAAACTCTTGGACACAGAAAGCATCCTACTAGCTGTTTCCCAAGTCTCATGTCCAGGCAGGAAGACATATTTTCTGAAGACAAGGTTGGAACACAGTGAGTGTAAGAATGAGCACTTTAAGTTTCTCTCATCTGACACAAGGATTAGGTTTGATATGCCTCTTAATTACTATTTACAACAAAACAAAACTATTAAATAGCAATAGCAATTTGTCAGGCTGAAGAATTCTTAGAATTTGCCAGGAGCACCCGTGAAGGAGTGTAGACAATTGGTTGAGAAATTGGGATATAATGGAACTCACACTGAGCATAGCATGCCGAAAAATCCCTGACACCAATTATTCAGTTGCTGCCTTAACCCTGGGAAAGCTCTAACCCTAAGAAAGCAAATCTTCATTTCATAAACATTAGGGGGTTATTCACATAGCTGCCGAAGGCAGCCAAGTGAATAACCGAGCTGAAGTGAAGTGAGCCGTTCGGCTATTCTTTTCAGCCTTGTACGGCTGGTTTCAGTATATCGGCTAAAATCCTCTATACATCGGCTGTCTTCTGAGCCGAAGTACAGAAGGAGTTCGACTCAGCCGATCCAACATCCGGATCGGCTAAGCCGAAGCTGCGGGGCATCTCATAGGGGCAGAATGGCAGTGAGTGAATAGCTTTGGCTAGCCTTTCTCCACGTTTCGCCGGTCACAATGGCTCAACCATATGGGTTTGGCCCAGCTGAGCCGCTCGGCTGCCTTCGGCTGCTGTACAGGCTATTGTGAATAGCCCGTTCAGCAGCCCTTCGGTTCGGCTGAACCGAAGGGCTCAGGCGGCCGAATCAGCTGAAGGATCAGCCAAAGCTACTGCTGGATCCTTCGGCTCTGTAGTGAATAACCCCCTAAATAATCATAGAAGTTTGGTACTGGGTGAGTATCACTACAATTATCTCTTACAGTAATCAGCCTACCTATGTATATGGTTCAAGAAAGCATACTCACATACAGAGTATAATTTAAAGTTAAATCATTGGGTTTGTTTGCAGGATGGTGCAGGTTACATGGTAAAATAGCATAATAGCATAATTTCAAAAGTGTTGCAGCAATGGTAAGGATTAGTTTTGTCTGTACTATTAAAATGTGATGGATATGTACACATATAGAGACCTACATCATACTGATGCTAAAAAGAATATGCGATAGCCATGTACACATAGTACACTATATAAATACATGTACTGTAGCAATTTAGCAATGAATATACGGTATATCAGAGTAGATTTGTTTTTATATTTACCAGGAATTCTTCATTATAACCTAGCTTTTGTCAATTTGTTTCCCATCGCTTTCTGCCCTAAATGAGTGAGGGAAGATCTTTCCACTTATAACAAACAGCAATTACAACTTCATAGAATTTCTAACCTTTCCCTTATTTAATCAAAACAAAAACAAAAAAAAGTTTTGGCTGAAGTTGGGGTTAAAGCATATCTCAACCTAAGAACAAAAATGTAATATAGTGCAGCTTACCAGTCCTTCGATGCACAAGCTGCATTCATTTTATTTTATTTTTCAGTCTACATTATCTGCAAATACAGTCCTTTAACTAGGGATCAAATTTGGGTTTATGGCAATTTCTGGTAAGTTGATGAATTGCAAACTTTTGGCCAAACAATTTGCAGGTACGCCACCAGAAATAAGGAACAGCCTGTAATGTAGTAAAATGTCCTTTTCCCTAGTCAGCTGACTCACAAGAGGCAATATGTTGAATGAATAGATAACCCATCCCCTTTCTATAAATGGGTGGGCTCACAGTAGCCATGTTTCCAGTGAGGCTGTTAAGGAGAGTTGACAATTCTGTGTAGAGAGAGCTACTGTTTTTTCTGTTTTATTTTATAGTTCTTTTTTTATTTTTGAATTGGTACATGACCTTCATGGCAGTACACAGCTTCCTATGACTGTTGTTTGAAAACAGCTTGCTTATTAAGCCTACAAATGGCCAGAATTGCATAGCAAGAATTGCCTCCATAGACTTCAGTGGGGACTACCACAAAGTTTGCTAGCTTCTATTTTGAAGCAAAATTTACAAAACGGTTTGTGAACCTCAGGCAAGATTCATGAAACTCTTCATGAACCCAACCCAGGCAGATTTGCTAATTTATACTTATAACTATGTACTGAACTGAAACCACTGCTATCAGCTTTCCCAGCTGTCTTCTGTGAACTAAACAACTCCTCCCATCTGTGTAAAGGAGATTAGATGAGGTGCAGGTATTTGTAGTCTACCTCAGGATAGCAGGTATAGGGTGATAACGCTGTTCCTCCATAGATACAGTACAGTGAGTAAGTGTTGTCACCCTAATAGAGGACGTGTGTTGCTTGCAGGATCACTAGGTGAAAAAAATCCCCCCCCAAAAAAAAAAAAAAAAAAACAATGCAGCCACCTCATCCAAGAACTTTTAAGCTGTAATATATTACATTTTCGTTTTCTGGATTTGGATATACCTTGATAGCATATCAGTAATGTTGTTTATCGTTCCCCAATATTGTAAGGTGCCTTTGAGAAATGTATTTTTATAATTGTTGCTGTTAGCCACTGATTTCCAGTATGTTTCCGAAAACTCCAGATTTATACTGTGAGCAGTATGTTGGGAACAATCTATCCAGCAAATCATTGCACAAGTTCAGGAAAGTTTTTCTCTTCTCACCATCTAATAGACCTTTGGAACATGATGAGCTGTTCTTTTGTTTTGTTTTTTCAAATTCTCCTAATATTATTGGATGTTTGAAGTGAGTACAGAGTTACTTCACCTTATCTTTAAATACAGTAAAATAGGACCAGAGTCACTTCACCTCATTTCACAATATAGGGAACCAGGGCCTTAGAGTTATTGGACAGATTAAGTAGGGTATAAACTGGTATTAATTTCGAATGAATGCTTGTATAAAAAAAAACGTCAGAACGTTCAATAATGTCATCAGAGACTTGATGAACATTGTTTCAAATTTCATTTGATTTTTGTTTTATTTAACATGCATTTTTGGAATAAATGGAGTTTCCTGAACGAAAACCACATTCACTGTTAGAATTTAGATAGATCGAGAACATTTTCCAAAATGCTCCTTCGAATTTCTCCATCACTACAGTTGAAATAGATCATCAATTCGACCCCATCAACTATTAGAAAGTCGAAAGAACATTCTAAAATTGATTTTGTTTGTTTGGAATTTGTTCAGTGTATACCCCAATTTACTAAGTTAAAGGAGAACTATGGGGTTAGGGCTTTTCCCCATAGTTCTCCTTAGGGTAACGGGAGGACACAAACTAGCGTCCTCCCGTCACCCTAAGCTCAGTATACCGCGAGCTACAGCTCGCGGTATACTGAGACGCCGCAGCTGAAGCGGATCCCGACAATTATGTCTGGATCCGCCCAGCTGTGTGAGTGACAGCTGGCTCTGCCTATCTGCCAGCTGTACCTCCCCCCCCTTCCCCCGTCCGTTCCGCCAGTCAGCGCTGGAGCAGGGAGGGAGGAATCCAGTCCCTCTGTCACGGCAGAGAGCCGTGACAGGATCAAGAAGTGAGCGAACGTCGGTATGTGTTCGCTCACTTCCCGATCTACTGAGCCAGCTAGAACTATGAGGATGAGTGAAAAGCACTCACCTCATAGTTATCCTTTAATGTGTCTGATGTTGACAAGATGAGGTTACCAAGAAAAATAGGGGTTGCATCACTGAATCACCATGGTACTAACAAGATCCTTGATCTGGTTTAGGCCTCTGCCCTTGTTACAATATATTTACATGTAAAAAGAAACACAACTGGCCTTAACGCAACTGGTTATTGTTTTCAACTGCAATTTTCTGCACATGTTCCTACACACCCTTTTTACTGTTTACCTCAGTATCTTCTTCCAAGTAGTTGAAAACAACAGCTTCCAAAACAAACTGTTCTCCTCTGGTGACATAATTGGGAAGATTCAAGGAAACAAAAAATGGCTGAAAGGATTCCAGCTGAAAATGTAATAATTCAAGCGTAAGTAAAAATATGCAGTTGTTCACATGAGTTAATAAAGAAATTTCAAAAACTGTTGTACTGATATGTTTAGAACTGGTTAATTGGCTTCTCCCTTAACCTACTTTAATTTGTAGATCTTGCTTTGACAATGCCTGATGTGGGAACAGTGAATTCTGGAATTTCTAGACAAATGAAAACAATGTACAAAACAGGGACAAATGCTAGACCAATTTAAACATTTTTGTTGTTAGGTCATTTATGAAAACCGGTAATAAATATGAACTGTTAAATGTACTTTAACATGTTTACACTGTTTGAAAACAGTGCTTAACTAGAACATGTGCAAATGAGCCTTAAAATAAACAGAATTTAAACAAGTGTTCTAGGCAAAAATAAACCCCTTCCAGGGATGTTTTCCTTCTCCTCTCTTTGAAGCCACTCGTTTAACACTGAGACCTTCATAACACTAAATTAAAGGTGGTTAGACATGGGAGATGGCTATCAAACAATGTGGACACTTTTGCAAATATTTTAAAGAAGTGCAAGCAGCATAGCAAAAAATGTAGTGTGGTGGGGTTTTCGTTTTGCTTTACTACTGTAATACAGATGGAAAAAAGTGTCATTTGGTAATGGCCCAAAGTCAACAATTCAAGACTAGCAAACAGGCATTAAAGAGAAGTATTTGGGGAGTAAAATGTACTATTCCCAATACTTTAACTAGCGTGTGACATCGCAGCTATCACACACCAGCTCTACAAATCAAGAACTAAGCAATCACAAACCGTTAATTGCTCAGCTTGCGATCTCCTGCAGGGATTCCCCCTCCCCTCTTTCTATTGCCCCAGCACTCACTGGAGGGACAGATAGCGGATGGGTGGGCACAGTGGCTCTGGCTCTAGAGAGTTGGAGACAGCTGTCAACTAGGCAGCAGGATGGATCCTGTCAATATTGTCAGGATCATTTCTTTCTGCAGCGCAGCTCTGCTCTGTCAGCATATAGCGGGCAGTAGCCTGCTATATGCTGAGTTTGGGGTCAGAGGAGTATATTAGTAAATGTACTCCTGTGACCCAAAAGAGAACTAAAGCCAAAACAAGTGTGAATGTACATGTCAGGGGAATAGGGGATTGAGTTAGGTTTTGCAGCTCCTCTTTAAACAATTAAATTCTGTCCCAGTAGTTAAACATAATACAACTTCAAAACTCAATGAATGAATCATAATATAATATTTCATCATGAATGATACATAATACAAGATTTCAGTGGCAGGAATAACTTGCTCTATGGAGGGAGATTTCAAGTTGTATTCTTTCAGATCTAGTTGGAGGACCATTGGACCTCACTAAATTACAATACACAGAGGACCAGAAGAAAATATGTGGTAATTCTCAAAGTATGTAGACAGCCATTCCAATCTAACAAATACAGAAAAATACTTATATGCTTCCATGTTTATTCTAAATCTAGCTCTTCTTCACTAGGGTTCCAGGTGTAGAAAATGAGTATGTACTAATGATCTGTACATGAAAATAGACTTGTAGGATTAAGGTCATCTTTACATGTGGGTCTGTTGGTTGACAGGAAAACTAACTAGGGGTTTTCTCCATCCAGCTAACTGATTGCAATATTTAATCCCGCTCTCAAAGTTAGAAGCTATTTATTTTTGGGCACAGAGCCTTATTGTGCTTGTAATTATTGTAAACCCTCAAGTGGGGTCTATCTTAACTTCACAGAGCATATGACAGCACTGTTAAATATCTGCATTAGGAGGGATAAGGAAACTTATAGAAAAAATGCTGATATCCTGCTGTTAATCATAAATACAAAACTTTATTACAGCATAATATGCTAAAGTATCTCTGTGCTATATTGAGTTGTCATTTTTAAACACCTGCAGTTCTAGGTCATATCGTCTCTATGTTTTGTTGCTGCTCGAGTCTGTTCTTCATCTTGTGTGTTATGTAAAAGCGCCTTGTTCTCTATTCTGCTGTGAAGTCTTTAGTATAGCAGTTATTTTTATAGTACATTTTCAGTGTCTATCAAACTGGATATTCAGAATCCACATCTCAAAACATCCTGACCAACAAGCACGAGGTGCTCTTTATAACACAACTGCATATAATGTCACACCCTTTCATGGGTGTGAATATCCAAGATCTTTGTGTCCCCACACTCCAACCTTGACAGTCATCAGCAGATGCATTCATACCTCTAGAGTTCTGTAGGATTAGCAAAGGTTGCTGCCGCACATATCCCTTGTCAGTGCAGATCCATACATTAGCAGACCAAGCATGCAGTTGTATATATTGTTGGCCTGCTGATACATTCAGCTACAATGACACATGGTATACCCTGCAATAACCTCTTTCTGAATAGAGATCTACAAGCAGCTAATCCTTGGTCAGCCGTGTCATTCACTAAGGTACCAAGATTCGCCAGATGCTCACCTAAGCCTCTCAAGTTTCCTTCTAAGCAACAACACCTCAAAGGTAGGTTTCTGGAAGGTTTATATGTTTCTTAGTTCAGTCTCCTCACAGCAACACAATACAAAAGTGTAAATTGGCTTTTAAAGAGTTTTATTTGTTCAAGGTGTGATGATAATGGGAGTCTGAGTCTGAATATTAAAAAATAGAATTATTTTGTCCCTCAGACAGAGCAAATGTAGGGCTTTTATAGCTGTCCTTAATAAATAAAGTGGACAAGTTAATATAAACAAGCAGGTCTGGTAGAGGAGGTGACCCCACATTCACCCAAAAGTCATAAACCTGGGTTACAAAATCAAGCTACATTTCATAATTTGGAATTGGGCGGGATAGTGTTAAATAAAGGTTTATCCTCCGCCACCTTTCCAGCCCCAGCCCTGCCCTAGGGGCTGGCTCCTAAAGGTCTGACAAAAAGATGCTGAACTAGTTAGAAATGGCTCTTGTTTTAAGGAACTAAGAAGTCTTAACATCGCAGAAGAGTTCCCCTTTACTATTTGGACATTATCTGCTAAAAGCTTGCTTGAAGAAGAGCCCTTCAGATTTCTCCTTTACTTATACAACTCTGAACTCTGTCAGAACTCCTAAACCCAGGACTGTTTTGCTGTTGTACATATATTTTGTCTCTTTTTATAAAATCTTTTTCTGTATATTTTCTGCACCGTTTCTTTTATTAAAGTACGATCTTAAAAATCGTTAAGCTTATCTCTACGCTCTAAATACGAACTTAAAGTATCCTTGCCTCTGTGAAGAGCGTTACTATATAGTGAACCCTGTCATATTCGTCCTAATTAGTCCTAATTAGTCCTCAGTAAATGCCAAATAACCGGGCATGTTGTAATTGCATCACACATATCATAATTTTCCTGTTGAAAAGTTGAATACCTGCACAGGAGACTCTAAAATTCCAAATCCCAAATTCTCAGAAATCACAAATGCATTTGTTATCCAAGTAGTGATGGTATCCGGTAGAACAGTACTTAACTCCAACTCTGTATCACTTCTGAAAAAGAAGAAAAAAAAAAAGCAATCACGTACTGTAAAAAATTGCACAAAAAAAACCCCAAGCATAACTGTTTTATCTTCTGAATGCCGAGATTTATTACATGCTCTATACCTTTTACTATATTTGTATGTTCAGTTGTACATTTTTTCCAGTGACATTTTCTGGTGCAGTTAAATGTTCACTTAACTTAGGGGTCTATTCACAAATCGGCTTTCAGCACGGCTCAGCGCTCGACTGAGCTGCTCGGCCGTGATCGGGAGCTGTACGGGCTATTGTGAATAGCCCGTACAGCACCCCCTCGGTTCTCCTGAACCGAAGGGGTCCTGGGGCCGAAGCCAGCCGAAGGATCGGCCGAAGCTACGGCCAGATCCTTCGGCAGCTTCGTGAATAGACCCCTTAGTAAATCATGTACAGTTGTTTTCATCTAAATAAGTCAATGTGCAATGAAATATGCACATTTTTTGCTGCACATTATTGGGCATTTAAAGAGAATACAAATTTACCTAAATCATTCAGCTTACATGCAATGTAATGAGAGATGATTATCTACTTCTTTAGTAAATGAATCACAACTTGTACTGACCGAAATTCGATTATGCAAACTGAAACCAAGCATTTGTGCTTTTTGTATACATCTTCTAAAGTAATTGTATTTTTTTCTGACAAGTATATAATTTAAAATACATCACCTCACGTTCAAAGGCTGTTAAATCGCGTTGTTTACCCGTATCTTCAGAAAAAAATCACTTCTACTGTCGTGGTAAACAACCTGCTTCCCTATTTATAATGGTCTGGCCCTCTAGCAACTTCAGCGCAAAATTATAGCTTATTTGCCTACAAACGTCAGGTGGTCATAATAATCTGGCCACTCAGTGTATATATACATATATACAGTTTTCTTAATGCACGTTGCAAGCATAATACCAGAGATAACAGATGACCTCATCAGTCTGTTGTTTATCTTTTCCCTGTATTTATCTTGCATTCATGGAGCTCAGTTTTGACAGTATTGCATCCATTTTAACATATAGGAAATGTCCATTTATCAGTATGTAGATTTTTATACATTTTCCTCAATATGTGCTGCAAACACACCCTAAAGGTATATAGACTATCACAAATTCTATATGATACGTGTAACGGACGCTTTGCAATATGCATAGAAATAGTTATAGAAATGTATTCATCCTTTACATATCTACACATAAAGTATTGAGCAGGTGGTGGTTTCAATACATGCCAGTTTGGAAATGTGTAATATAGCAAGAACAGTGTCACATTACATTACCCCATATTAATATTCTTCCAGATCCATGTCTCAGGGAAATAGGACCTAACATGAGGGCTACCAAAATCAGCAGATTGCCATGTTGGCTGGAAGTCCTGTGATGTATCATAATTAACTTTAACCACTGTAACAAGAAATTGATGCATTTTACAGTTAAAGCAAATCATTTTAAAACTCTAGTGTTAAGGGACAAGCTATATTGTTTACTACACTTGAAGATGTATTTCAGAAATTTTCCATTCATTTCATTCATATGTGGTAACGGAAGATGCCAATAAAACAGTACAAATTGGCCACAATTCTTCTGAAACATGCAACACCATGCTTGGTTTTAGAAACAAAAATTAAACTTGAACTAAAAAGATCACAGCATGAGGGTCTAGTCACCAAGAAGTTATTTTAACTGCCTTCCTTAATATGTCTCATAATAATCTCACATGAAAATGAAATTTATTTTCTGAAAGTCTATATTTCTCATAAATCCATCTGGCTCAATGTCTTGCCCTCACCGATAACTTACTGTAAAGACTAGGCAAAACAACTTTACTTTTTTCATTAAGAGTCTCTACTCCTTTAGTAACCAACAATATAGAAACTCAAAGTTGTCACCACGTAGAAGCTAGTAATGGTATTGAATGTTAAAATACTGCACCATTTGCTAAAATATATCTAGCTTACAATTTTAATGTAAGGTAATTGTAAAATGTGTGCAGCACACCTTATGTGAATAGACTCTATAAAGCTGAATTATTACAGCCACTAAAAGAGCATAAGTATCTAGTAAATTAAAGAAAACAGGCAGCATCCAGTAAGTTTTACATTTACTGTATTAACATCAGGAAACAATTCATTTAAACCGGTTACTATAAATAACTGCTGTTCACATATAATTCTAGCTCTTAAGTGTCTGATATGATGTGTTAGGAGACATTGAGGCCTATTTATTAAAGGAGCTGAGAATGTTCACACAGTAATCCAATCATGTGAATAGTAAATCCCTGTTAACTTATTTCATCTGCACATGATTGGAAAATTAAAGTGCATATTTACACAGTTTATTGTGTGAACAGTCTCAACTCCTTTAGTAAATCAGCCTCAGTATGTGCCATCAGTATTGATAGCCAAATAAATTCACCAGAACCAAATTAGACCAGTCTGTACCGAGTGGATGTTTGCCTTGGGTTGCCAATACACTACTAGACAAACCAATATAAAGTTCGTGCAGCAGTACACAAATGGGCACTATTTATAGCAAGTCAATGCTACAATCCAAAAAAAAGTCTTCCTATTTCTCACTATAGTCAAAATACTGGAAGAGGATGGGCTAGCAGTCTCAGATACTAATGCTTTATGCATCATTGCATTGCAGTGTTTTCATTCTAAAACAGGGAATGTGCTTACAGGTGTATAAATATCACTTAGGGCAGCACTTATATGAATCCACACTTAACTGAACATATAGACATGTGCACCAGCAAAAAATTTGTTTAGTTTCGTTTGGTTTTGATTCGGATTTTGCTTTATTTCGTTTTTTTCGGAATTCGGGTCCGAAAGTCAATTCATTTCGGAATTCGTATTCAGATGAAATTCGTTAGCGGAAATCCGTACAAAATTTCATTTCTAATTTGTTTAATTTTCCTTTCGTTCGTTTGTTGCAGCAAAGTGACATTTAACCTCCCTGGCGGTAATCCCGAGTCTGGCTCGGGGTGAATTTTCCATGCTAGGAGCGGTAACCCCGAGCCAGACTCGGGGCTGCAGTAAAAAGTGACACTCACCTTTTCCCTGCAATTTAAGAATTACAGGCCTACAACAGATAACACCAAATTTCCATGCAAAACAATATACCGCTTTTGGTACAAAATTCCTGACATAATCATACCGCCAGAGAGGTTAAGAGGGAAAAAAAGGTTTCTTGTTCTCAAATGACACTTTGCTGCAACGAAATTTCATCCAAAAAACTAAAGTTCGTCCAAAAAAACGAATCAGAAATTCGGAATCGGAAATTCTGATTTGTTTGCATTCGTTACACCTGTAATTCAGAATTTGGATACATCTGAATCTCGGAATTTTGATTCGGAATGAAACGAATCACATCGCACATGTCTAATATACAGTCTTAATAAAAATAAACAACCAAAGCAAATCTCTGAGCTGTATTTTTGCAAGGTCTCTATGTCACTTTAGGACTCAGTAGTGATGTAGTGGCTGGCTGGAGAAACCCCAGTGCAAATGTTAGAATGTTAAAGTCTCTCAAGTGTCTCTCAAGGGACCCAAATGACCCATTTTACAGTTAACTTAATGAGAGAAGGGAAAAATCATTACATCAGATGGATCAGCAGTGTTTGAAGATATTTGTAAACCTGCATAATTGCAATTGTTTTCATTATAGTGAGGAAATAAATAACTGTCAGTAATATTTAACCAAACGTACTTACATTCATCATTTGCCTCTTCCATTTTAAGGATGGCATCAGTGAGCACACCAATATTACATCTCTGAAAATGGAAAAAGTTACGATAAGGTTTTCTTTATACCACTTATATATCTTACTAAGCATTCAAGCTTAACTCCAGGTAAGAATAAATGCCAGCACATAAGCTGCATGTAACAGAAGGTTTGCCTGTGTTACTTTATCTGTTCAGTTTTGGATAGTATGTATCAGACTTAAAATTTCTACTAGATTTTCATATCTGCCTGTACCCACACTGGGGAAATCCTCACTTCCTGTCCCATGACAAAAATGATGGAAGCAGTTGCCACAGTGACAGGAACGCTTTGAGAGGAAAACTAAGGATCGGCCGAAGCTACTGCCAGATCCTTCGGCAGCTTTGTGAATAGACCCCTATGTTTCATTAACTATTTAATTCAGAGATTTAATAATTACCTCAAAAACTTGGTATGGATCAGTGATACGTCTTGGATGAACTGTGCTGTAATCTTTCAAATCTTCTGATATCTGAGTAAAATGAAGAAAGTAAAATAAAATAGTCCATGTTAATAGGGGCTTCTGAGAACACATTGCATTTTCTGAATTTTCTGTACATTGTTCTTAAATTTAAAAGCAGTGGTAGCAAACAAAAAAAAAAGTCTAGTCATTCATCTCATGAGGTCAGGACTTTACACTCAAACACAATGCAATATAAATCTGACATTCTTGCTTTTATTATTATCGATGACCTGATCATCGATCAGGTCAACTTGCAATTTTATTGTAAAATTAAAACAAAAAAAACCAATGAGAATGTGTACACTCCTACATCCTTGCATGACAACATTTAGGCATTCAGGATGGAAACCCCATTGGAAGAGGGCTGCAGGTGTATTGGTCTATATGGCATTTATCATCAGAAAGCAAAAAAAAAAAAAGGACATCTATTTCAAAACAATAACAACCTAATCTCAATCCCACAATTGCCTGAAAAGGTAGTTCACAATGCAGGAATTCTTGAGTTGGAAGACCGATAAAGATCCTTACCCATTGTCTTTACCAACAATACATGTAACATTTAAAGACAAACATGGAGTGAGTACATCAAAGAAGCAAAACAGAAAAAATATATATAAGTAGGTGCTAATTGTAGTGGTACCACACACACACACACACACACAACCACTAGATAGTGTATTTATTGAGCTCAAGTATATCGAACTGTGATTACTTTTATATTTTCAAATATATGCATTTAATAATTAGAAAATAGGTATATGACTAGCAATATATTGCAATGATATTGCACAATGCAACCCAATTTCTACACAATATGCATGATTCTGCAACATAGTAGCATGTTACAATCAGAAAACATGACTAAACCTATGGCACACAGCAACATGAGTAAAACATATTCAACTAACAAGATACAATAGTAAATACAATTCCAGTGCAATGGTAATTGTGGGCAAACAAAGCATTTTTAACTACACAGAAGCCAAAATGTGCAGCAGCAGTTATTTCTGTAAGAAATAAGTCAAGGCAAATGGCCAGTTGCCTTGACTTATTTTTTACAGATATACCATGACCTGGATGAATGAGAACCTTCACAGACATAGTAGCAGTTATTGGTAGCTTTTAGTAGAAATGATACAAAAAGCGGTACATTGCAGTGGGATATGTTTCCTATAGATATATACACCATCCACAATTGCATAAAGATGTCTAATAGGTAAAAACACATCCAAAGAGAAGAAGGCATTTGTCCCAATGTTATGGGCCTGTTTGTCCAATCACTGCTTGCTTCATGAACTCCATTTACACCTCTAGAACCCGAATCAGTCCTGTGCTGCCAGAGGAAGTGTGGCATTACTTCCTATCTAGCAGATTACCATCTTGGCTGGGACTAACCACACATCAATTCAAGAATTCAAAACCAATAACTGAATCTCAAACACTAATTATATTAACTGGTATGCATAATTAAGGGTAATTTCGACAATCCAGTTACCACACTGTCAGCCTAAATTGTTTTATTCAAAAGAAAACATTGTGAGAACAATGTTTGCTATTGAATGAATTAACTAGTAAATGGTTAGTTAAACTGCACATAACTTTACTTGCAATTACACAACACTCGCATGGGCACTTGTGATACAAAAGAACCTGTTGTCCATTAGTACCAATCTGGTATTTTTTTTGTAGAAAAGTTCAGTTGTTTAGCTACCAGTAGCTACCACTTTTTGACAGATCGAGGGTCAACTAAGTTCTCATTGAGAACAAATTAACAAATAGTGGCAAACTGGTATAAATGTGTAGACATAAACAGTATACTTTAATTATTAGTCGGTACCTAATATTCAAATAAGTTAAGTCAAAAATACTTTATTCTTAGAGTTTCTAATGATTTTAAAAGTATAACCATCCTGTGTTTAGTACTTATTGCCTATACTGTAAAAAATGTTGAATAAGCTTGTAATGATAGCTTAGTAAAAAAAAGTAACCCACTATAAATGCAAAGCAATATGAACTCACACGTTTTGTAGTAATTTCTTGCCTGTCTCCAAGTAACTTCACACTTTTGTCCACAACTGAAAGCCCAACCAAAGAATTAGACTCAGTCACGTTGATCTTTAGTGATACACTATCTGATGGGCTTGCTTTTTCTTTATTCCAGGAAACAGAAATCTGCAATATGGTTATTTCAGAGAAGGAAATGTTGAAATGTTTGGTATTACAATGTGACATAATGTACTAATACATTCCTAATTTTACTATTAAAATGATGATCCTTATCAATAACTTTCGGCTTTCTAACAGGGATATAAAATTTGTGATATTTTGTAGTTGTTCTACTAAAGGCAAATAGGCTGTTTGCTTTGCAAGGAAATTTCCCCTTAGCTTAATGAATGAGGTGCAGCTCTGCTGACATCCATCATCCAATCATATGTAAGCAAAAATACTGGGGGGGGTTTTCAATGTATCCTTGCACATGATTGGGTATTCTTTGCAAACTGAACTTTTCACCACTATTGCTAAGCTAAAGCATAATTTTCACTTGCAAAGTGAAAATTCTTTTGAAAGTGAACACCCTTTACTAGTAAATCAATCCCTAGGTCTCCTTCCATGATATGAGCTGATTGAATCTGCTCTGCTCATAATCAGGCAAATCAAGTCTCCGTTTCATTTTGTAGGTTGCATTATTTTTTCTAGGTCTAAAGTATTAAGTGGGCTAGTAATGAAATCATGACTTGCATCAATAACATAAGTAGCACTTGTCCACTGACCCATTTACAATTGTTTCACAATGGTTACACAATGATTGCATATGGTTGCACAAAGGACCCAAAATCTGGGGGGACAGAGTGCAAGAAGGATCTGCTGGGTACTCTGCAAACAGGAAGGACCCAATTACTAGTGTTCATTGCTTTACCTAGAGGAGCAAATCAGCAATCTACAACAAACATCTGGCTGAAAAAGAGCAAGAATACAACCAAAATTGAGAAGAAATTGGTGAAGGACCTTTAGCACTCTTAGCAGTCTTAGATATTCATCACATAAAAAGTGAACAATTGCAAGATTTCAACTGTATTTCTGTTTCTGATACAACTCAAAATTTTGGATTTCCCCTTGCTTTCAGTCTCAGTGATAATAGTCACTAGAACATATAGAGAGGATGATAATACTTCCCAAGGCTATGCAAAATGTAAAAAAATGTGGCTGTATATACACTTTAAATTATGATTTTTAGTTATGGTAATACCTTTTCTTCACTACAGCAGACATTAAATAGTACACACAGTGAATTACAACAGAAAAAGCATTACCTTGTTTTCAAAGTCAGGGTGAACAGAGAGAGTGGTAACATCATTAACAACCGTGCCGTCACCCAAGGTATTGTAAACAACTAAACATGCCTCCGGAGTCCATGAGCTTTGAGGATTCAGTGTTAATGACATACTATTTTCCTTACCAACATGTACTATCTGACCCCGGGACATAACCTGACGAAGAGAAGAAAAAACTATTGTAAAAGAAAAGACTCGCCTTGGTTTACATGGATTTTCTAGTTATACTAGTAACAAACGCACATATATCACTTTTCTAGTTATACTAGTATAATAAGTGGGATTCTATAAAGCAGATAATTTTCAAAAGCAGAGGTCAGGAATGGCACCCTCCATGTTTCTCTCATGACAGGTTTACTTTAACTTTTGAAAGCCCTTTTATTTATTGAGAATCTACACTGAGTGGCCAGAATATTATGACCACCTGACGTTTGTAGGCAAATTAGCTATAATTAGCTATAATTTCGTGCTGAAGTTGCTAGAGGGCCAGACCATTATAAATAGGGAAGCAGGTTGTTTACCACGACAGTAGAAGTGATTTTTTTCTGAAGATATGGGTAAACAATGCAATTTAACAGCCTTTGAATGTGGGATGATTGTTGGCGCTCGGAGCCATGGAGCGAGTATCAGCAAAACAGCAGAATTCGGTAAATGTTCAAGACCAGCTGTTGTTAAAGTGTTTAAAGACTGGACTGTCAGCCGAAAATCTGGGTCTGAACGTGCGAATTGTGGCCGTCAGCGACTAGTCAATGTTAGGGCAGAACGGAAAGTGGCAAGACTTGTACAAGACAACAGAAGGACAACAGTGCAGTGTCAGACTCCTTGCATCACCTTTCAACATCTCATGGAGTCAGGAGGCGGCCCAACAAAGTCATCTCGTGGCCCAACAAAGTACTGATGGGGTAGTCATAATAATCTGGCCACTCAGTGTATGGTTCATTCTCTGAGCTTTTATTTTATGCCCTCCTCATGCAGCTCTTATGCAGCTTCCCAGATCACTTCTACCTTTAGTGTACAGGCCATAAATTAAAATTAAATCATCTAAGTTGAATTAGGCATATGTTCTACAACTTTAGCAGTTAAAAGGGTTCATCACAATTATAATGATATAGTGGTTCTTTACCACTTTTTTCAGGACAGGAAGCTAAATTCTGTGTGGGTCAATGGCATCGCCATGTCATGCTGGTGTCACACTGTCAGGTATGATATGTCAGATCAGCAAAATTTGTAGTGTCTACCTATACAACCCATTCATAGTATATCCTGTTAGGTAGACCCTTAAATACACCACTGCTGGCAAAGTTTGCTTATCTGACTCATGGCTAGGATTAGCAATAGTAGAACAGAGGTCCCAATGTTTTTTACTGGAGGGCAATGGGAGGTTTCTACCCCTTCATATTATTACTAAGTGGAAAGCCTAAATCAAAACGGGAGTTATATTTCTTTTCAAATTTCACTTTAATTAATTTATTTTGCACAACTCAAGCTAAATTACCAGATATTTTATTGCATCCAAATGTATGTTGCTCTTTACATCAAGCTTAAATGGAGTTCCAACCTACATAAAAAGAAGAAAAAGAGAAAATGTAAATAAGTATATTTGAATTGGCACATATACAGTATTTATATGTAATTATTAATCTGCACTGGCGGAACTACCAGGGTCGCAGCGGTCGCACTTGCGACCGGGACCAGGTGTTCCGCCTGTTCGGGGGGGGCCCAGAGAGAAGGGGAGGCCCGCCGCTCGCACCTACTCATGCTGCCTGCGGCGCTGCGGTCTTCACCGCTGCCGCCCGCAGTGTCTTTTGCGGCAGTGGTGAAGAATAGAAGATGTAGCGCTGCGGGGGTGTGGCCTGTCAGGGGGTGAGGCCTGTCAGGGAACTCCAATTCCCAGCAGGCAATGTGCATATCAGAGCCGCCTCTCCGAGCAGAGGAGAGGCAGGTAAGTTCCTGCCCCCCTTCAGAAAGGTCCCGCCCCCCTCCCCCCACCCTTCACGCCGGGTTGAGTAGACAGTGAGGGGAGAGCTGCACCCGCAGCCCTTCCTCTCAACTGTCACATGAGTTCTAGCACAGTGCTGTGCTAGAACTCCTGTATTGAGGGTGACAGATTCAATAAGGAGAACCTGTCACCTCCAAATGCTATCACACATGGTGCCTGTTAGCTCTTGTGTGATAGCAATAAAGTTAAGTGAAAAAAAATTGATAAATTATCAAATAAATAAACATTTATGAAAAAATAAGTAAAAAATAATAATACAAATTATAAAAAGTAAAAGATAGTAAAATTAAAAATGTATAAAAAAAAGTGATAAAAAAGTTAAAAATAAATTAGAGGTGCACAGAGCTCCTCTGTTAATCTTTAAAAAAAGCTTGGATTATTATAGATGATGTACTGTATTTATGGTAAATCAATGTCACAAAGTTAAATTTAAAAAAACGAATTTGCTGTTTGAAATTTGTTAATCCCACCTGCTCCTTTGAAAATGTTCAAACCATTAATAAAAAATCTACTCCAGTCACAGTATGGGAAAGTGTTAGCCTAAGGGAATGGAATCTTTAATGCTGTAAGGAGGCTAATACCATTACTATAAAGACTAACTTAGACTTCCGGTTCCAGCCCATGTGAGGAGCAGCAGGGAGACGGCGCTCCCCCTTGATACGGCTTACCGATACGGCCCCGACGGCTCCCGCCAATCCACCCCGCTGCTCACGGAGGTTGAGTGCAGGGTATGGACCCTGACGACATGAGCTCGCTCGACAATCTATGCTGGCCACTATGCTCGAGGCTCTCAAATTACAAGATATTTGGCGACTGGCACACCCCCTGGACATGTCCCTAGTACATGATAGCATGGCGCGCCTAGACTATTGTTTTTGCTCATCGGACCTATTGCCCCGAGCCACTGAATCAGAAATACATGACATAGTAATCTTGGATCATGCACCCATCTCGCTCACGATTCACGCTGCCCCGCGAGTTACTAATGCACACATGTGGCGTTTTCCCTCTTATCTAAGCTCACAGGACGACTTTCGGCAATTCCTGATTTCCTCATGGAGAGATTACTCGTCCTATAACAACCAACATGTATCCCAGCCAACCCTATTCTGGGAAACAGCAAAGGCTTACATGAGGGGGAAAATAATGGCCTATGTAGCACCTTACAAAAAGCGCACTATGCAAGGTTACATGACAGCGAGTATAGCGCTGCGCGAAGCGAGAAGGGAGCTAGCATCGGATGCCTCTGCCCAAAACCGTACGGCATGGACAAATGCCAAGACGCAATTCGATTTGTGGGCACACAGACAGGAGCAATCCAGCTCCTCTCACTACGCACTTCAGCTCCACAAGTATGGAAATAAAGCGGGCAAACTTTTAGCCAGACTAGCGAAAGGCCGCTTTCGTCCCACTCACATCCCCAGCCTCCAACAGCCGACAGGTATCTTGACACAGGACCCGATGCAAATAAATAAAATATTGGAAAATCTTTACAGAACCCTTTATTCTGCTGACTCATTTGACAATGAGGCGGCAGACTGCTTCTTGTCCTCAGTGAACTTACCGAGCCTATCCCAGGACCAATTGCATTCTCTGAATGCAGACATATCTCAGGAGGAAATAGCCTCGGTCATCAAATGCCTAGGCGCGGGCAAAGCCCCGGGACCTGACGGGTATACAGCAGAGTTCTTTAAAATCCTACAGACAGAGATTGTAGAATCTCTACACACCATGTACTCCTCGGTGTGGGGAGGCTCCATGTATCCAATAACGGGAAAAGAGGCATACATAAAACTGCTACCCAAGGAGGGTAAGGATCCTACGGATCCCAGTTCGTATAGACCTATATCACTCCTAAACATAGACGCCAAGATCCTCTCTAAAATAGTGGCGAACAGACTGGCTGATATCTTACCAACCCTGATTCAGCCGTCGCAGGTGGGATTTGTCAAGGGTCGCTCGGGAGTGACAAACATACGTAAAGTACTGGTGGCACTGGAGCAGGCTCGCTCTAACCCATTATTGGAGTCTGCCATCATCACTCTTGATGCCGAGAAGGCGTTTGACAATGTAAACCTGAGATGGTTGTTCAGGGTACTCACAGAATTTGGCTTTAGGGGAAGAGTGGTCAACTTCTTTGAACAAATGTACACCTCCCCGATCGCACGGATACTGACCCAGGCAGCATTGTCCGGACCTATTATTTTGGAAAAAGGAACGAGACAGGGCTGTCCTCTGTCCCCCCTACTGTTCAACCTGTCCCTAGAACCGCTAGCAGCTCACATCGCGCACTCGGACACTATCCATGGGATTAAGGTGGGCAAAGCGGAGCTTCGACTGGCAATGTTTGCTAACGATGTCCTGTTATTCACCTCCCGCCCAACTGAAGACTTCTTATCCATTAGAACTCTGTTAGACCACTTTAAAACGTTCTCGGGTCTCCGGATACATTTCCTGAAAAGCGAAATCCTCCCCCTGTCAGGGACGATAGGGATAGATGGACAGGGAGTCATGAGGGTGGCACAGCAGCACATAACTTATCTGGGTATAAAGGTGGGAAGGACTCCTTCTTCTATTTACCATCTCAACTACCCCCCGCTTATACAAAGAATTTGCAAGGAACTGGACATGTGGAGGGACCTTCCCTTATCGCTCTTCGGGAGAATTCACCTCATTAAAATGATGAGTTTTGCAAGGTTGCTATACCCACTGCAAACTCTCCCCTTACTGTTAAGGACTACCGATATCTCTTGCCTAAACAAAGCCATGTCGACGTTCATTTGGCAAGCGAAACGGCCGAGAATTTCGTTTAAGAAACTCTGGCTCCCGAAGGGCGAGGGGGGAACCAACCTCCCGAATATCAAATTGTACAATATGGCTTGTTTACTCCGTCATGCCCTAGACTGGTTATCTGAGAGTGAAATGTATTCGAATACCAAATTGGAGACGGAGTTAATCAACCCATGGGATCTTAGGGCGGTGCTCCACTGCAAACTCTCCTCCTTACCCCAGCGCATTCGACACATCTCCCTGATTAGGGACACAATTACTGTTTGGCGAGAGGTCAGGAAATCTCTTAAACTCCCTTTATATATGTCCGCACATTGTCCCATCATGGGGCACCCCTCATTCGCTCAAGGCTTGGATTACTCAGCTTTCCACAAATGGAAGGAAAAGGCCCTCTATTACTGGAAACAGTTATTTGACCCTCAAACTTTCGCCCCTTACTCTCTCAAAGACCTGATACAACAGTATTGTATCCCCCCCAGGACTTTTTACACTACCTACAGCTAAAGACCGCATGGTGCAGTCTCGGGGGAACGCCGAGATCTCTTTTCTCATCCTCAATTCTGGACGTACTTGTATCGAACAAAACGTATTCTATCTCGGAACTATACCCAAAACTACAAACACTATGTATACCTCCCCTCTCAGGGTCAAGTGTGAAAGGATGGTGTAGAGACTTCAATGACCCAGAATTATTACCTAAAATCCTCGAGGGGTATACATAGACGAGATCACTAATAACTAACGAAGTTTGGAGGGAGACCCAATTTAAGATCATACATCGAGCCTACGTACCCTACTTCATTCCAGCAACGACGACCTCCTCACCAAGCCCACCAATATCAATCTGTCCTAAATGCGGACTCCAACGCCCGACCTTACACCATTGCTTCTGGGGGTGTCCAGAGATTTCGAACTTTTGGAACCAAGTTCTTGCATATATCAATACGATTGTTTCATGGAAGCCTGACCTGGAATACTCACTGTGTCTCTTTGGTTACCTGGACCTTTCTGCCAACCATCGAGGCCAGACCAAATACAAAGGAATGGACTGGGTGCACATCTGTCTCCTGGTGGCTAGGAGATGTCTCACGAGACACTGGAACGCCCCATCAGCCCCCAAGATATAGGAAATCATCAAGGACTTGACGGCGTTAATGGCCAAGGAAAGACTAGAGGCCGAAATGCACAAGGATAAACAGGCCTCATCCTTCTTCAAAAGATGGAAACATTTAATTGTGAAAACCTTAACGGTATTGGAAATAAACCACCTGGTTGAGCCCTTTAGATATACTAAATGGTATTTAGAGGCAGAGGTGTCGAATGCTCTGGGGAGTTTGCGACTGGTGCAGGATTAACTTACCTCATACCAGCAAGATACTCGGTCTAGCTCTAGCTCCTAATAGAGCCAGTAAATCCACAATGTTTGTGCCTGATATGCAGTTGTTTGACAGGGGAGCGGAAAGCACAGGTACCCTAACGCAGCTTACATGTATGATGTATAATAGATACAGATATGCACCTTTCTGTAACCTGCAGATAGTATGTTTGTTTCATTTTATTTTGTAGTTTTATATGGAAGAAAATCAAATAAAAATTGTTTGAAAAAAAAGACTAACTTAAACAGAATATGCGTATTCCCTGAAATTCATCAAGCGTATCATAGACACTCATTAGAAATATGTCTCCTGGCCATGCAACAAATGGCACAGCTTACAACAGATTCATATAACTGTCGATACAGTGTAAATGAATCTGAGGCAGAATTGCCTCAGACAGAATTTTGTCTGTGACACAATACTTACACTTGTGACAAAACTTACTCCAACACGGAAGCAGTCTTATTTACCTCTACATTTCTTATCACTGATATGGCGGTATTGTTTAATGAATTTGATGCAGCCATAGCTCCAGAAGGTAAAAAAGTGTCACACATAAGAAGCGCCTGAATTTGTACCACATTAGAAATTAAAAGAAAACTCTTTTACACCTGACTTAAATTACACATTTAGTTTTAGTCCCTTTATATAGGATGTTATTTTGGTTGGCGAGGTATTTTGAATAATTTCCCTTTTATGGAACTTGCTGGGAATTGAGATTATTCATGTCCACCATGATGGGTGGTTGTTGTGGGTTTTGTTTTGAGAATATATATTCAAGGTAAATGCCTTGGTGTTTCACACAAAACAAAAATGGTATTGCTGGCACTCAAAGGGCTTTCAGAGGTGAACAAGGAGGACAATATAATAACTATATTGCACCAATGTTTCAGTGAGTCGCAGCTCGCCTTTCTTAAATATAAATGTACAGTATTATTTTATTTTTATATTAAAAAAAGGAACACTGTCATATGAATATTTGCCTTTGACTTATAATAGTTACAGTGTGTTCAAAACAAGTTTTAGTTCACCCCTCCTGTATCAATGTGACAGCTGACTTATGTAGGCATGCAGGAAATAGGGTCATGATTCCATACCACTATGTGTAATGCATAGGAGGGATGGGGGCAGTCCATAACATGCCACATACACACTTCTATTTAGAAAGAATTAATGTATGAAAGTTGATCCATGCATTGAAGTAGCCACCGCGAGTAGTGAAACTGGTTGGGTAACCATTTCAGCTGGATGGTTAAAGGAGAACTATGAGGTGAGTGAAAATCACTCATCCTCATAGTTCGAGCCGACGGATGACAATAAAACTGTCATAAGTCGGCTCAATAGATCGGGAAGTGAGCGAACGCACACCATCGCTTGCTCACTTCTCGATCATGTCCCTGCAGAGAGCAGTGACTCTCAGTCACAGCTCCCCACGGGGGTTCCCCCCTCCCCGCTCCGATACTCCAGCGCTGACTGAAGGAACGGACGGGGCAGGGGGCAGGTACAGCTGGCTCTGCCTCTAGGTAGGCAGAGCCAGCTGTCATTCACACAGCTGGGTGGATCTCGACAGCAGTGTTGGGATCCGTCCCAGCTGCGGCGGTCTCAGTATACAGCGAGCTGTAACTTACGATATACTGAGCTTTGGGTCACGGGAGGATGCTAGTATATGTACTTGTGACCCTTAAGAGAACTATGGGGAAAAACACTTACCCCATAGTTCTCTTTTAAGTATGTACCACGTAAACCTCTTGTTGCATAACAAGTTTTGAATGGCATACCACACACTTGTATTAGATAAAAGTCTAAAATGGCAGACAAGGGGGTGGATGGTAGATGCAAATTGGGGAGGTTGTGGGCTCCTGGGAAGTTTGATGTGGAAAATAGGTCAGTCATACTTTAAGAGGTTGATCATAAAATTCCACTATTGGGACTAGAGTGCAGGCTGTGGAAGAGAATGGGTGGGTCCGCATTCTGGCTGCCCCATTCCACAAGTCTATGGGGTCTATTCACGAAGCTGCCGAAGGATCTAGCCATAGCTTGGGCCGATCCTTCGGCTAGCTTCGGCCCCAGGACCCCTTCGGTTCAGTAGAACCGAAGGGGTGCTGTACGGGCTATTCACTATAGCCCGTACAGCTCCCGAACGTGGCCGAGCGGCTCAGTCGAGCTGAAAGCATATGCATCGGCTCGGCTGAACCGTGCTGAAAGCAAAGCTGGCCGAGCGGCCGGCCACTGGCCGGCCGACAGCCTGCTTCTGGAAGCTGGGGGGAGCCAGCCGTGATCTTACGGCTCGCTCCGGCCACTTGCAGAGAGATCAGCGTCCCTTGTTACCGGCTAACCAGGGACACTGATCTCCAAACAGCAAACTCTCCCTGGCGCCCCGGGAGTCTCCTGCTCCTGTACATTTTTTTTTATAAATGACTCACTGTATGACTTACCTTTACATCCTGGATTCCATTTTGGATCTGTAGATATACCTTATTTGGTGAATTAAATAAATCATCAACATCAATTGAATTGGTACTGTCTAGAAATACTGCCTGCAAAACAATATGCAATATAAACAACACACAATACTCAAACACATATCTACAAACAGAGCTTGTATCATTTTGTTTTACCCAAAACTTGTTAAAATGTAACATTGAATGAAGAACATTGTATTGAATGAGGCTAAAATTGTTGGCAAATCCAACTGTCTTCTGAGCCACAGTGGTATTACTCTAAAAAAAAACAAGGAAGTTGAGGTATTCCTATCATCCTTTGGACTGTTGGTACCTGCACTATAAAACAAGCTGACAGGCAGAAGTACCAAACAGGGATACCCTTTGGCAATGAGCATTTTTTTCACTTTCATGCTGTGAGTTACAAAAACACTTTTAAAGTTTTTATTGGACATAGTGTTGAAATAATATTATTGTTTTTCACATACTGACCTAAAGCTACCATACCCATAACCACCAGATGATTATCATCCACGTCCTATGAAATTAGTAGTAAAACAGGCACCCTTGGCAGACCATAATCAGAGGAAGAGTCTGTTAGCCAGTTGTATCTTTTGGCGGTCTCAGTATACAGCGAGCTGTAACTTACGATATACTGAGCTTTGGGTCACGGGAGGATGCTAGTATATGTACTTGTGACCCTTAAGAGAACTATGGGGAAAAACACTTACCCCATAGTTCTCTTTTAAGTATGTACCACGTAAACCTCTTGTTGCATAACAAGTTTTGAATGGCATACCACACACTTGTATTAGATAAAAGTCTAAAATGGCAGACAAGGGGGTGGATGGTAGATGCAAATTGGGGAGGTTGTGGGCTCCTGGGAAGTTTGATGTGGAAAATAGGTCAGTCATACTTTAAGAGGTTGATCATAAAATTCCACTATTGGGACTAGAGTGCAGGCTGTGGAAGAGAATGGGTGGGTCCGCATTCTGGCTGCCCCATTCCACAAGTCTATGGGGTCTATTCACGAAGCTGCCGAAGGATCTATCCATAGCTTGGGCCGATCCTTCGGCTAGCTTCGGCCCCAGGACCCCTTCGGTTCAGTAGAACCGAAGGGGTGCTGTACGGGCTATTCACTATAGCCCGTACAGCTCCCGAACGTGGCCGAGCGGCTCAGTCGAGCTGAAAGCATATGCATCGGCTCGGCTGAACCGTGCTGAAAGCAAAGCTGGCCGAGCGGCCGGCCACTGGCCGGCCGACAGCCTGCTTCTGGAAGCTGGGGGGAGCCAGCCGTGATCTTACGGCTCGCTCCGGCCACTTGCAGAGAGATCAGCGTCCCTTGTTACCGGCTAACCAGGGACACTGATCTCCAAACAGCAAACTCTCCCTGGCGCCCCGGGAGTCTCCTGCTCCTGTACATTTTTTTTTATAAATGACTCACTGTATGACTTACCTTTACATCCTGGATTCCATTTTGGATCTGTAGATATACCTTATTTGGTGAATTAAATAAATCATCAACATCAATTGAATTGGTACTGTCTAGAAATACTGCCTGCAAAACAATATGCAATATAAACAACACACAATACTCAAACACATATCTACAAACAGAGCTTGTATCATTTTGTTTTACCCAAAACTTGTTAAAATGTAACATTGAATGAAGAACATTGTATTGAATGAGGCTAAAATTGTTGGCAAATCCAACTGTCTTCTGAGCCACAGTGGTATTACTCTAAAAAAAAACACAAGGAAGTTGAGGTATTCCTATCATCCTTTGGACTGTTGGTACCTGCACTATAAAACAAGCTGACAGGCAGAAGTACCAAACAGGGATACCCTTTGGCAATGAGCATTTTTTTCACTTTCATGCTGTGAGTTACAAAAACACTTTTAAAGTTTTTATTGGACATAGTGTTGAAATAATATTATTGTTTTTCACATACTGACCTAAAGCTACCATACCCATAACCACCAGATGATTATCATCCACGTCCTATGAAATTAGTAGTAAAACAGGCACCCTTGGCAGACCATAATCAGAGGAAGAGTCTGTTAGCCAGTTGTATCTTTAACTTTATAGACTTATGTTTGGGTAACGGAGTGTGTGTGTGTGTGTGGGGGGGGGGGGGGG